ACACACAGTGAGACTCTAACTCACGATCATTACATCTTCAATCCAGCAATCATACCACTACGCCAGGAAGTCTTGGTAATCAATTGGATAAAATTAAGACAGATTGTTGAATTTTGAAATAATTTTAGAAGAAAAATTAAATACATATTTTCAACATTTTCAATATGAAGACCACCTTTAACCAAAATTATCTAAGCGTAATGAAGAGCAGTAATATCCAAATAAAATTATTCAGAAGTTGTTTTTCTGGTTAAGGGTGGTCTTTTCCTACAGTTTGTCATTGTTTAGGGGGGTACCTCAGTATTTACTATATTCTCCATATAAACTGAACGATTTTTATAACTATCATATGAGAGAACTATTAATAATTGAGTATTATTTTTGTGTGAGTTGCTTTAAGGCATGTATAAACTAACATTATATGACAAAATTTTTGTTACACAAAGTATTTAAAAAATCATTACTGGAGTAGGCGAAAGTGACTATCAAATGCGCTATGGCTCTTTTGTGATTTGACAGTAAATAACTTTGAAATATTCAAAATGGTTATATTTATCTGCTTATGATCAACAGTGAGGTTTATTTTTGTTAAGTCAGAAATGGAATGTCATTAATGGGCTAAGACAATTTAAATCTCATACGTACCTTAAAAATTGATTTTTTATAATTGAAATTAATGAGTACTTATTATGCTTTCTACAAAATTATTGTTATTTGCCTGAGGCACCTAAAAAAAAATAATGTTTGCATACGCCCTCCGGACGCGGTTAAAATAATTTGGTCGGTGGGTACAAGGAGAATTCTTTTATTATCGATAAAATTTCCACATATTTGTTAACGAGACAAGAGGAATAAGAAGGGGAAAAAAAAAATCTTGTCTTGGAATGTAAAATGTTTTTTAGTCGGGAAAGGGCAACCAAACAAATTTTTGGAGATGGTCTTCTGTTATTTTGTATCTTTTCTCACAGAATCATTTAGAGCGCTTGGAGAATTTATGACCTGGGTCCAAGCCGTATTAGAAAGCGGAACTTGGAAATTTCATGATGGAACATCGATCCCGATGGAAGGGGCTTGTGAGATTCAAAATTCAAATCTTCCTGGAGAAAATAATATGAGAACAAAAAGCAAAAAAGGATTTATCTGTTCTGATATGCCTGGGAGCGTTGAAAACGGCTACGTCTGTGAGAAAATTTTGAGAATAGATTAGTGAAATTCATCATGAAAATTGTATAATATTTTTAACTCTCAGTTCTGTTATCTTCTTTAAATTTGACCCCATTTGTACGATTTCATTGAAAGGGGTTCTTTACTGAAAACACAAATCAAGTGTTGTCTTTTTTTTGACAACTTTTTTGAAAGGTTTATCTTGGCACGTACATAAGAAATTTCTAGTAAAGCGAGTTCGAACTCGGGCTCGTAGTCTGCCTGCTTAAAACAAAGAGGGGTTCTGTTCTGATATGCCGGAGCTTTCCACTACCGAGAGTTCTTTTTAACCCTCTTAACAGAAATCAAAATTTTGCATTTTTAATAAAAATTTTTTAACAATATTTTGGCTTTTCAAGTTTTTGTAGCTATTAATCATAAGTATTGTACTAAAATGCCGGTGAAAAAACTTCTTTCTTTACTGGATGTGGTGCCTATATTTCCTCAAAATGACTGATAGCAAGAAGGGGGATGTTTTAAGAGTTATGTGTTACCTTCTAAAGTTTAATGATAACATTAAAAATGAATACATTTAGTAAAAAAGTAAATTCACAAAAAAATTAATGCTCCATTTAAACATTAAATGTTATTTTTAGATCTTAGAATGAAACAAATACCCAGTAAATCTTAAAACATCCCCCCTTCCGACCATTTAATTAAAACGTGCTAGTCCGCCATATACAACAAATGCAGCCCGAGTTCTACCATGCATTAGGTTTATTAATATGTTAATCTGAGCGAAATTAATATTCTTGGGCATTCTTAAATGCATGTTTTTCAGATACTGCGGTCGAATTTTCTCTAACTCGGCATAATGTAGCAACTTTTGGACTTCCGGCCAAGAAACTGTCATTTATGCTATTGAAACACATGAGCCTAATGAGTCGTTATATGGTGTACATTTGCATCTGCAGCTCTTTTTTTCTTTATTTTGAGAATTTCCAGCATTAACAATGAAAATCAACGGTTCACAGCACAGTTAAGGTTACAAAAAGGAGGCGGAACCTAATTTGTACTGGAAAACTTAACTATGACATCATACAAAATATACGTCATACAAAATAAATTTCTTTAAACGACCACAAAATGAGTTGATTTGCTAATTTAACCACGGCAGTAAGAAATCATCAAACTACATTAAAACTTACTACAACGTGCTGTTTTATCGTTAGTAAAATCCCACATAACATGTTATAAACAAGTCAGTGATCGCAATACATAATTACTACATACATAACACATAATTCATAATTACTACATAAAAGTAGTTATTAATCACAATTTTAATTATCCGATATGAAAAATGTAGTATAAATTATCGCCATCCCGATTATGAATACATTTTTAAAAACAAAAAATAGTCGATATTTCTATTCCGCACCTTAACTGTACTGCGTGGGTATAGAAAATTATTTTCCTGATTGATTCATGAAACCTAATTAAATACTAATTTAGATATATTTATTATATACTTAATGTGTATCACTCAATTTTACTGTTGATTTTACGCTATCACGTGACGTCGTGATCCGACTTTCTGGATCACCACACTGTGGGTTTCTGAATCCATTACACCACTCTCTGAAACTGATGACGTAGTACGGAGGAACATGACGTTATTTTTCTTGTGCGTTAAAAAGTAACTTATTATTATGCTTCGCGTCTCGTTTGATCTGATGATCTGCGCCTGTCAACTCGACGTGATACGGCCCTTCGGATAAAGTTTCTGTTATAATAGTATATATTTATTACTTTTTAGACTGGTTTTCTGTCTATCAAAGTACAGATTCTATTGGATGTGGACGTGTTATATATTTGTCTTGTTTCTGCTGGTCCTTTACATATTGTTTGCGAAGGAAAAACATTTCGGTATCTGAAAAAAGGCAATTACAAAGTGTGTTAATCATTTAGAGATCAATATTTCAATGCTGCTTTATTTTTCAGATAATTCTTAATCTTTATTCAAATAATGTCTTTCTTGCCAGGTTATGAATTACAAAAAAAAAAAAAAAAAAAAAAAAATCAAATTTATGCCTTAAAATTCTTAGATTGTATCACTGGGCTACATTCAGTCACACTACATTCAGTTTGAAGTGGTATAATGTATAGAATACATGTACATGTATTTAACATTAAAACTGTTTCCATCGTTTTATGAATAATGGCCGCAATAATGTAGCTCTTTCAGATATTTTCTAATCTGATGTTTTCTGGTAACAATTCCACAGCATCTTCGTAACGGTGCAATTATATTTTTTCGCTCTACTCAACAGCCATGACAGTTCATGCGGGATGTACGCGCGCAGTATACAGAGACTTTCGCTTGAAAATTAGAACCGCTTAATGAACCAAATGTCAGTAGTATATAAAACAGCGATAGTTTTACTTAAAATATGATAATTTTTAACAGATCTGTTCCCATGTATAGATCCCAAAGTTACATTGGCTATCCCCCCCCCCCCCAAAAAAAAACTATCAAGGTCAGTAAACATGAGAGATTAACTTAAATTGTAATGTTGACATACACGAAATAATAAGCGATATAATTATGGATCATTATGAATATTTTAGGATCGAATGCATAACTACATTTTTTGGAATCCAGGTAAAAAAAATGTCAATAAAAAAGCCATTTACTGATAATATATATGAGCCAAAACTGTGTGGGAGTGAGTCACCTCTGCACTTTCACCATTACGGAGACCTTTAGGAGGTGTAGCCCCCTTCCCCTAAAATAGGAGAGAGCTACTTTATTGCAGCTTATGAAAAAAAATCTCCAAGTATGTTTATTTTTTTTAATTTCAGTCATCGAGAAACCATTGAATATAGGACAGCGATACGCTCCTCTATTTTATTTATGTTTTAACAAAATTTTTCATTAATATGTTTACTCACAAAACGTTGAGATACCTTACCAGGCATTTGTTCAAAGTAGCTAAGGCTAGTGTTTCTTATATAACCCTTATGGGGGAAAACGTAATATTCCAAAATCAATTATTTATATTGTTTTGAATATTTCCCGAAAATTCAAAAAAATTATAAAACAGATATTTGAGGATAATATCGTGTGACCTTAAGGGAACATTCGATAGATTTCACACACATAATGATGCTCTGATGAAGGGGATGAAGTCAAACAGGAAAAGTAGGGATTAAGGGATGACGTTAAATGTACATGTATCTTTCCCGATTCGTTGAATTGGAGAAAGTTACAATAAAAGTGCATCTTAGTGCCATCACTGAATAACCACTGATCATTTATCTTTTCACCCTGTATCCAGACCTTATTGGAATCGTCAGCTGCAAAACGTCCTGAAAGAACGAAACTTGTGTAATAAACACATCAAACTTGTTAAATCCGACATGCACTGGAATACGAATTTTGTGTCAGAATAAACAGTGTGCGGATTGTACAGTGTACAATAACATGATAATAAGTAGAATGCAAAAGAAATTTTACGTCGAATTCCTCAATGTGACGGATTACGCAGGTGTCGCAGTAAACAGGTTTCACGGTACCATCTTATTGAATCATAATACCATATATTTCATAATACAATTCAAATTATGAAATATGTTCCCTAACAGTGTATTAAGTGGTTACATTAAAGCCAAATTGTGAGGGATGGGTTTTTGTCTACATTGATGATTCGACTTTGAAAAACAAATAAGTCAAAAATTCATTCTTATGCCGTACTGAAATTTAAGATCAATAGCGTTCAATTGCAAGTAGTCGTACATGTAATTACCAATTTCAAAGAAGATAGCTTGGATTTTAAAAGGACAATGGAACTTACCTATGTGGCCTTTTAAGATGTCGTACTTGTGAGAGGAATCAATTTTAACTAAATCTCCACCATCGGCTTGACAGTTTCCTACAGCCTCTGTGTAATTAGCTGATATCGATAGGTATCGCAGGCAAATATTGTAATGTGTGTAGTCATACATGACATAAGTAGATGGACAGTGTGCTGAAATAAAACAAAAGAATAATTGTATGCTGTTTATATTCTTTGGTCTTTATTTATTTATCTATTGATAAATATGTTATTGAATTATTGATTATTTTTATTAATTTATTTACTATACTTGTTGACAGAAAAATGTTGTTCAAAAAGATTTGATTTCGTCATTTATGAACTTTGGAGCCTGAAAATGCTTGTTATCTCCATATTTTTCATTGAAGAATAATATGATTGATTGATTGTATTCTGTTTAACGTCCCTCTCCAGGTAATATTTCACTGAAATGGAGACGTCACCATTACCGGTGAATGGCTGCAAATTTAGGCCTATGCTCGGCACTTACGGCCTTTGAGCAGGGAGGGATCTTTATCGTGCCACACATGCTGTGACACGGGGCCTCGGTTTATACGGTCTCATCCGAAAGACTGCCCCATTTAGTCGCCTTTTACGACAAGCAAGGGGGTACTGAGGACCTATTCTAACCCGGGTCCCCACGGGATAAGAATAATATGATATAACAGAACAAAGTTTTGTCAAGGAATTCAATTTGCGAATATCTTCGAACGATGAAGACCATAAAATAATCGACAGAAAAATAAATGAAATCACACTATAATTGGCTTTATTGATATGCATCGAATTTTACTTTTAATGTTAAAAATTTTCCTAGTAGCATGCAATGTATATGTGTGCATGAAACATAAGGAGATAACGAAAATTATTCAAGATCAAACGTCCATTAAACAGTACAAAATAGGAGCAGAGCAAACACTGGAGGTTGGATCAGGTGCCATGAAGGAGTAAGTATTCCCTGCAGAACGTTAACCCGCCGTCTTCTCCGCGTCTTGATCGGGAAATAGCGGGAAAATCCGTCGTCATTTCCGTGTTTAAATAATGCACTAAGAATTAGTATGAAAAACGTCAGTAAGTATTTGACTCATGAACAATGATAAATGATCAATGAAAACTTTTATTTGCTGACAAGTCCAATGTATCGACCATAGAGCTTACGAAATGACGATTTTAAACGAGACAGCTGAAATCGTTGTTTCATCAACTTGTTTGTCAAAATATCATCATTAATTTCCCTCGAGTTTATCGTATTGCCACGGCTTTCGCACACTATAATAACTACATATATATCTATTTTATTTTAAAGATATTATTAGTGGAATTCAAGTTGTTAATATTATTCTTACACAAACAAATATACGATTCGATATCAGTGAAATATATATGAAATTTTGCCTGGTCTATGACTGAGCTTTTTCAACAAAACTTTTATTACAAAAGTAATCTAAAATAAACTTTAACCTAACAACATTATTTAAAGGATAATAAGTTTTTTATCAATAAAAATCGTTCTTTTTTTTGATTTTTTTTTTATTAGCCAGTCTTTTCTTCTCGGTGACTTATAAACTGTGTGATTCGAAGCAAAGTGTCGGAAATTAAATGTATAATGCACTAGCGAGAGATAAAGAAAAAACAAACTTTGACTGTTAATCAGCGAGGTGAATTCCGAGGGTTGAGTTAAAAACTTCTTTTCATGGGAATTAAATCCAAAAACACATACTATTTGATACTTACGAGGCTTATAAGATTTCCAGCTGGAATCATTCAAAACACTTCCAGGGGAATCTTTACAACACATGCAACGTCTTCGCAACACATCATGACTAAACATGTAAAACCTTCGAGATGTCTCTAAACACTTCGAGAAGCAATGTAGACCGTTTCTTACAGCGTTGAACTCTTGACATGAGTTCGTTGGAAAATCGAAAACCTTAACTGCATAATTAAAATTTATAACATTTAAAACTGATGTTTTTAACACAATTCCTAAACTCACGAAGCAGATAAAACATAACTTTAAAAACATTTTCATCACCTTCAATATTCTTGATACATTCACGATTTCAATGCTCTCTTTGACCTTTTTGTTACTTAAATATTTATACATCCACAGATTAATTTAGAATATCCATATCAAATTTCATTTCAATGCATATTCTTTAATTATAATTATGCAGATTTACCTTGTTTGATTGGAATTATTGACACTTCAGCAAATAAAGACTGCTAAAGTCTAATTAAGTAGAGAAAGTTATACATGAAAGTGAGTGTCCAAGTTCTGATAAATATCAAAATTTATTTTTTTTTTATGATTTAGAATAATAATCTATATTTTCATATTTTCTTTTTGTTTGTTTGGATTTTTTTTTTTGCTTTTCGTAAATAAAGGCTCAGTCAATTATCTTGATACAGATGACAGTTATAATTCACATCAGTACATGTAAAAACAAGTTATTAAATAGAATTTTGATTAAACCATACAACATTCTTTAGCTTCCATTAAATGATAAATTTGAAGATATAAAAAAAGAGATTGATAACAAAACTCCAACCAAGATAACCAAAATATGTCGACAGAGACCCAAGTCAACTCCTGGTGTTTCGGAGGTCCATGTTTGCTCTGCTCTTATTTTGTATTGTTTAATGGACTTTGAGACTGAATACTGTTCGTTATCTCCATATTCTTCTTGAATCAGGTACCAAGGAGGAGTATGTTACCCTTATTGGCCGGTTACAACAGTCATGAGCACTTTTGCTTTGATGGAAGGAATGTTCAAGAGTTAATTAAAAAACAGAGGATCTACAATAAGAATCAACCAAAATACAACCAAATAACAGGTTATACTTTCCAATAAGATCCCTTAAAAAAACATGGATTTTACAAAATGTTGAAAAATCTGTTGAAATCCCTGCTAGTAGCATAGTAGCAACAACTTATCCGTAAGCACACGTAATCTGCATCCGTTTAAAATCATAAACGTTTTTAAAGCATGCTCATTAGTACTGAAAACTTTGAGGTGACATACGCACCATATGTAAGCAGGGAAAGGTGAGATGAGAAGATGATAAACTGAAGTGATCTTGTTTGCCAAAGAATTTAGTTGGTCAATATCATCTCCATTCAGTAAATTTTTAAAATAAGAATTGTGAGATCATATGGTCTCTTTTATTCTTATATCACTTTTAGTTCTTATTTTACTTTTATTCTTATATTACTTTTTGAAGGCTGTGTAACGGTATCTTATAGTATTATTCTGTTTTATTGTTATGCAATGTTTGTTTACATGTCATTGCTCCGCGCGAGCAATGCCGTTACATAAATGACCCCGTTAAAAAAGATTGCTCCTCATGAGCAATGCATATTATGTATATATATAGGCCGAGTGAAAGCTTAGGCGCGGTCAGTCTTATTAATTCTATTACGGGATATACATGTAGGAAAAAGTGCAGTCCGGCCAGTGATTTATTATGTGTGAAACTTTGGATTTTATTGTGATGTAAATAAACTGTAAATAATTTTATTTTGCGTTTTATTTAACCTAAAGCGTATGCTTTAGAGGTTGGAGAATTACACTCACATGGATTATTAATAAAACTGGAGTTATCTCACACTTGGATTATTTAAATAGAGCCGTTTACCGCTCGACGGCGCTACAGCTGGTACATACATCCTTTATGTCTTCCTTATGATAATGAATTACTCAGTGTTCACATTTAAAGAAATTTTTTTTAATTTAGGAATATTTTTATTGATAACATTGTTATCAGGGAAAGAACTTCACAGTACTGTTAACGATTCCCGGAGCTTAAAATGCATTTAAAACGTAACACTGCGTTGCAAAGCTGAAGTTATGTACTTCAGTACGCCAAATTCATACAGAGAATCTTCTAGGTTATATATAAACATATTTGTTACGATGTCACATGACCTTGTTGATCACGTGACGGTCGTTTTTTCTTTTTCGGAACGTTTCACATAAATTCGGCGCAGGTTATTAACACATTTATTATTAACTTTTTGTCACATAAATAAACTGGATGCATCCTTGTGAAACCGATATGTGCTTGGGAAAAGTAATACTATTTCTTTGGAACAATTTATTTCATATTATCTTCTACTTACCGACAAATCTGAGGGTATTTTCCGCTGAATATCGTCATCTGTGTTAAAACAAAGCCATCATACATTTTTCCCGAGCAGGATTCAGTTAGAAATGAAACTCCTCTTACATATTTCCACAGAAGATATTAAATAAATCCTCATTAACAACCTGCGCCAGGCTCTTTTAAACACATATTATGAATTCTGTCTCTGTCCACGGGTATAAAAAAGGGTATATGTCAAACGTATATTTTTGTACGAAGTTTGAACACGATGACTCTTAAACAAGAGTAATAAAGCAAAGGTATCTAAATAATTTGGATACATTAGACTTTTGAAAAAAAAAGATAAAAACACGTTTATTTTAAACTACATGTAGCATTCTGCAACTTTATATGCAGATTGAAATAAGAAGTAAAGTTTATGACACTCTCCCCTTCATTACAGCTCAAATATGCAGTGACATGACGTCATTTTCAATTATGACATCATACATCTGTAGTTCAGAGAAGTGCATGCAGAGGGTACACTACAATATTCTCTTGGAAGCTTTATCGTACCTGCGTTATTACAACCTTTCCTCTAAGAAAAATAAACAGATAATAAACTCGTTATTCTACTTAAATTTTAAATGCCCTATTAAACTAACTTTATGTTTTATTCTATCAAATTCAAAAATTCGAAATGCACTCATCTTTTTCAAGAACGAAAATGTTAAGCCAGAAATCAAAAACTCAATGAAAGAAGCCTTTAAATGTAAATTTGATATGAATTATTCATAAATGAAATCGTTATGCAGCATGTTTAGATTTCTAATGCATACTGCCTATGATGAATTTATAATGCTTTATTCGTGTCCTGTAATCAATTTAAAGACACAAACATATTTAATAAAGTCCATAGGACTCATTTAGAACAATCAACATATTGACATTGTTATATGCTGTTGCATTTTCACCAACAAAGGTATATAGATCGCACTTCATATTAATTGACAAGTTATCAATATCATTCTTTTATTATCTAAATTATTCAGAGAAACATACAACTT